ATCATGGAGGAGAGAGTTTTGTACTTCGGTATGTGTGTTCTGTACTTATGTCCTCCTCAACAGACCCATGTGAGGGAGGGTGGAGGAGGGGACGAAATTGAGCAGCTTAGTTTCAAGAAACCTGTGGCTGCTACGTGCTCTGATGAATGTTGTTGGACGATCCCATCTTGTGTACTTCCTTCCCTTTGGTCCTCCTTCCTACATACCGCATCTATTGAGTGCTTTTGAGGAGCCCAGTTTACATGGAATAGATAAAGAATTGACCTTAAATATATGACTGTTGAAGAGCAAGTTAAGGCCAAATAAGAGAATCTTTTCAGGGTTAGTTGATCTACAAAGTTCCACATTAAAAAAAAAAAAAAGAACTCAGAAAGATGACTTGAGCTCTTAGCCACTTGAGCAACTATGACAATTTGTGTATTTGACATTTGATGCAATAAAGTGTGAAGGGATTCTGAACTTATTCCAAGGGAAAATAATGTGAATTTATATTTAGAGAACATAAAACTTTTCGGAAACTTTTTTTCCCCTAAACATACTTGATAGTCTTTCTTATCTCAGAGCTACTTCTTGTCAGAAAATTTATAACATTCTAGAAACAGTTTAACACTCCAATAAATAAAATTTTTAAAGCTTTTCTTAATTTTATTTCCAACACTTTAATTGGTTTCTCTAAGACACAGGACAATAATTAACTGTTCTCATGTAGATGGTTATTACATTTTGGTAAGCATTATAAAGTAGCAAAGATTGATATGTGGTAATACATGAAAATAATTACAAATTAAAACCTCAGAAGGGCAAGTCTCTCTGTTATTATTTAGGTTGATTTGACCTAAGAATAAAAAAAATTAGTAAATATCCTAGAGGCTTTAAGAAGACCCATATATGCCAGAGATTAAGAAATAGAACCCCAAGAAAAATTGGAAGGCATAGCAGTCAGTGTTCTCTAGAGAAAGAAAATGAACAGTGTACTTAAACAGAGAGGAAGATTCTTTTGTAGGAATTTTCAGCTTTTGTTGATTCTATTAGCTCTTAAATACAGTTGAGCTGGGGTCTTTTCAGTTCCATTCCTGAGTGGAGCCCTGGTGCTTGTAGAATGTGGCTGAGACACCTACAGGCTAGAGAGCACACGCTTACACATCCTTGTCTCACTCAGGCTTAATACTGAGATAGTTATTTGTAAGGTAGTTGTGGTGCTGTGACTAGTTGTGGTGTAACTAGAAACCATATTTGATTTTTGCACTCAGTTCTGGGTGGAACTTCTAAAATCCTCTTGTCCTGAGCAGTAGTGGGCATTGGGTGCATAGTCTGTTCTCATGTTTGGTCTTTGATCCTGGTCTTGACCAGGAGCTCTTCATCACCAGTAATTTCCTGGAGGATAGAAGCATCTTTTATTCTGATATTCGGTATCCTACAGGGGATGAGTTCTCCCTAAGCAATGCAGAATCTCTAACTCTCAGCTCTCTCCCCATGTTCTAGGAAGATGAAAAATGTGAAAATGCAGTTAATGATCAATTATGCCTGCACAGGAGAGTGCCTAGGAAACAACCTGAAGGGGCTGCTGGGTTTCCAGACACACCAGGGTGGGACCTGGACAATGAGAGTGGCCAGGGAGGTGCCACCCCCTTTCCCACACAACTGGATATGTGTACCTCTTTTGTCTCCTTGTGTAGATTTCTTACATATTTTGGAATATGCTTTGTAATAAATACAAGTAGTAAATATAGGGGTTTCCTAATTTTTTGAGCTATCAAGTTAATTGCACCAGAGGAGGAGGATGTGGCCTATCCGTCAGAAGCACAGGGAGCAGCAGGGGCTGGTGACCGGCATCTGAGGTGGGGCACAGACTTGGGGACTGAGACCTTACCCTAGCCTGTGAGATTGGATGCTGCCTCCAGGGAGACCAGAGGAAGTGGATGGAGTCCAGGGCATGTCAGTGCTATACTCTGTCTGGAGAATGGTATACAGGGGAAATGCCTATAGATTTTGGTGACCTGAGGTACCCTTGTTGTGGTGAGCCTGTAAGTTGGGAGAAACAGCTCTTTCTTTCTTATCCTTCATAACGATTAGTGACTGTGTGTTGAATGATAGTTATAACAACTATCACGTCCTGAGCTTGAGTGATTTGGCAGAAACCATGCTAAGCATCTTGTGTTTGGTTTTCTTTAGGCCTCATAATAACTCTGAAGGGGATTTACAGATAAGAACACAGAGAATGGGGGCCAGGGACATGCCTGCCTGGCAAATGCAAGATCCTGAGTTCATTTCCCAATAGCCAATAGAAGAAAAAGAAGGAGGAGAAGGAGAAGGAGGAGGAAGAGGAGGAGAAGAGGGAGGAGGAGGAGAAGGAGGAAGAGGAGGAGGAAGAAGAGGAGGAGAAGGAGGAGGAGGAAGAGAAGGAA